TTCTGTTTTTTCGCCGCTGTTTGTTGTTGCTGTTCTAAATACGCCAAAAGTTGCTTTCGGGGCATAAATATATGTCTTTAGTGTGGCATGTCTGGTTGCGTTTTTGGAACTTTGGTAAATGGGGCAAAGGCAGACGACGGACCGAAGCCACTCTTCGGAGTCGGGCTCTGGGTCTGGGCAGAATTCACGGAATTAGTTAACGATTAATGATTGGATATTGATTTCGCTTTGTTGCTCGGGCCGGCTCGGCTCGTCTCGGCTGGGCTCTCCTTGGAGGAGGGAGGCTTCCCTGGGCCCGTTTCGCTTTTACTACTCATTAATTTCTTTTAACTATCGGTAGGCATTAAAAACGCCGCTGAGGGAAATTAAGTTCCTGCCGCAACATCTTATTCGCTGGCATCTTTCTCCATTCAAGCCATTTTACATAGTTTATTTGCGTTGTTGCCAACTTTCTTTTTGAGAGATTCTCTTCCTTATAGCGCTGCTAACTGCTTTACGATCTGGCCAGACATAAAACTCCAAGCCGAGGAAGATAGCTGTGCCGTGCCTGCCACAAGACGATTGGATGGTCTTGTGGATGGGGACTCTTCTCAGTTCAGGTAGTATTCCTCAGATCTTTTTCTTCTTCTCGTTTTGTTAGCCGCTTCTGGGAAACTTAATTTGTGCTCCTGGCCGCCATATCAAATTGGCGCTATCGAATACCTAACACGGGCCATCCAAATACACAAAAGTATTCTTTATCTACACATATCCATACACATGGACAGACAGACAGTGCCCCATATAACTATGAAGCTTAAAATTTGCTTAGCTCTTTGGATTGAGGTCTGTTTCGGTTTCTTCTCTACGAAATCCGAGGCTAAATTCCTCTTAGAGAGATTCCATTTAAAGCCATCCAAACCCTTACACATTTGCGTAGAAACTCCCCAAAAAAAAAAACAATCTTCGGACCAGAAATTTTAATTTGTGTGAGAACTTTGTTTTATTGGGTTCGTTCGTTCGTTTTAAAGATACTGCTTGAGATGTCGAGGAGATGGGGGGATTAAAATGGCGAATATTTGCCGCCGATCATTAGCTATTAACTCGACTCCTTGGCAACAGCCTCGCGAAGTTTGCCAACCACTGAACCTGAGCAGTAATTGAGTTGGATCTTCTTGGAGCTTGGATCTCAGGGTCTAGTCTACAATCTGCCTGCCATGGGTAACGAGATACGCCAAACTATTTGGCAATTAGCAGATAATAACATTTGCTTACACATTTACGAAATAATGAGTGAAACGGGACAGAAGAACGTGCAAAAATGGAACTACATACATATATTATAAAAGTTTAATAGATTGGGTTTCGAAAATATATCCTCTTAAATGAACTCTAGCTTTCTGATTCAAAATTAACAATAATCTAGGCTTGTCCAGAGGAGACTCCTTTGGCACAAGAGCTGGATCAGATGAGGGCAATCAATCGGAGAGCCCCAATGATGCGCTGATGGCCAACCATTTGGACTGATGACTGGACCACGTCCAGGCAGACTGGCCTATATTATGTCATAACGATATAGACCACTAAAAAAAATTCAAGCCACTAAAGTGACTTTAAAAGAAACATAGAAGACAGGAAGGTTAGTCTTGAAAAGTCACTATTCTTCCATTAATTAACTTTAAAAACTTTTTAGCAATTTTTTACGGTGCAAAGATCTCCAGTAAAGGGGGTTGGCGGATCACCGGAGACATGCCCACTTGTGGTGCAATCGGTGTGGTGCTCTTTGTGCGCCAACTCATATTAAACCACCGTTATGCATATCAGGCGCACAATTCACAGAAAAATGGGGAGGGGAACGGAGAGAGATCGCCACATATCGAATGGAGATTGGCGTGGCCATGGCGTAACCCTTTAATTATGCCACATATATACAGGCCAGAATCTACAATCCGCCAAGATCGTTCTAAGCCCGGCTCACCTCTCGACGTCAACGCCTTTCGAATGGCACTCTCTGGGTCTGAATCTGAGTCTGGGTTTGGTCTTGGTGTTCTGGACCTGCACTCCTCTGCTACTTTCTAAAAATCTGTCCGGGAATATAAATTGCAGCCACGTTCGCTCCTCGGTGAGTGCGAGTCAAAAATGTTGCAGCACTCGGCCGCATCTTAATTGCATTTCGATTACGTTGCAGCTAAAAAACAAACTAACCAAAAAAAAAAGAAAGAATTTACAAACATAGAAGAAATGGAAGCAAATCAAATCTACGAGTATGCTTTTCTTGCAACAAATGTTGCGGGCAACATGTTGCAGCCGCGAACAGGCCCGCAGCAATATCAACAGGAACTTGGGAGCCTGCCAAATAGACAACAGATGAGACAGCCCGGCACGGCCCAATCCACAGCTCTGGAACGCCTTTCAGGCTCTCAAGCTATTTGCTAGGCCTCCAGTCTGGCCATGACTCTGGCGGGGACCCGCTTCAGAAAACAGGTTACTCCGAGCATGGCCAAAACACAGGCTATGGCTGGAGTCCAGAGCCTAGAAATTGTAACAGCCAGCAGAGAGTGTTGCCTCGGTTCGGCTTGGTTCTCAGGCGTCAGGGGCAGACCTTTTCTTTCTGCCAACTTGCCCCGTCCTGGGCCATTTAATACAGTTAGCTTTATTCGAGGCCCTCACACTCTGTCACAGTGGGCATGATTAGTTTTTCTTCCTAAATAAGTTAGTTAACGTTTTTATAAAGAGGTATTTTCTTTTCTTGTTTTAAGGCTTTTTGAAGATTTGTTATACTTTTTGAAGAATAATACATCCCACATATGGTTCCACTGTGCTTCAGTCTCTCGAAGGAGCAACATTACAAGTCCAGTGGATGTAGTAACGGCAGCAGCAGCAACAATAGGAGATGCAAACTGTTTTTGGCTGGAAGTCATGGCCATCCATGACCATTCCCGTTCACTTATCCCTCGCTGCCATCGTGCCACCCCCTCCATTTCCTTCGTCGACGTCGTCGATACTTTCTTTGGCGATGCTGCTGCTGTGGCAGCCTCTCTCGAGTCATTAAAAATGATTCTTCTCAAACTAGAACGGACCATTGGCCGACGAAAAAGAAGCCAGGAACGGAGCAAGCCGAGGGGAAATGGCCATCATAAATGTACAAAAGAAAGGCCTATAACCGAACACCAAATGCCCTTAATGAGCAAGTCTTTTGTAATTGATTCTAGGGAACTAGAACTTTACTATTAATATGCCACTAGGCCATTAGTAAACATTATTATTTACAACCCACTAAGGATTTTCAAACAATCGTTTTGCATTTTCCATTTATTTGAATTCCATATTTTATTCCAAGAGTGCCTTATCCTTTATCAGAACCTTTCAATTTCCACTCCCCGAGGCTTCACAGTCCACAGCCGACCGAGTGTGCTATTCGCGCGCTCCCAATTCCTGTGGGGGGATGGCCGATCGAGACGCCGATATCGGGAGTGTGTTATTGCTGACTTGTCAGCTGTTGGCTTATACAAATATTATTACATGATACTGTACACCGCCCAGCTCTCCACCCCACAACAAACCACTCCACATACCACTTGGAGTCGCCCCTGCCCTGCCACTTTTTTCAATGAATTATTAGTTATTTCAAATTTATGTGCCGTGCTGTTTTATATATATTTTTTTTGTGTTTCCTCGATGTTGCTGCTGTGCTGTACTCTCGTGTTCTTTTTTTTATCGTGCGTCTATTTGCGTTTCCGCTTTCCGTTCTCGAAGACTGGGACTTGGGGTCTTCTCAGGGCCTCCTTTCATTTGCTCAATGAAGAGTTAGCGACGGGCCCCAGAGCCCGAGGAGAGTCTTCGTGCCGTTGGGGGCGTATTTGCCTAACAAAAATAAATAAATACGAATTTATTGCAGCGTTTGTTCGCTCCTATATGGTATATATTTTTTTTATTGGGTTATGTTTGTGTCGCTGGCAACATTAATACCTAATGCCGTCTCGGGCCATGGAGAGCCCCCATCAAAGATCGAATAAACAAATAAGAGAAAAAGCTTTACTTAGCGTTCCCCCTTAGGACATTATTATTTTTCCGCCCGGTTTTCTTTTCGGAAGATAAGCAAAATACACTGCTGAGGCTGAAGCCCAGGAAGCGGCAGAATCTACTATATGCTTCGCTTTTCTCGACTGAGAATTACAGAAACAGTGGGTGGGAGGAGGACCTGGCACGCGGGGCTTGGCCATTTGATTCTGCTGCCCTGGCAATTCTTCTGCTTGGACGATCTTCTCGGTGCTCTCCCGGAGAGGTTCTGGTTTCTACGAATTTGTCACGCTTTGGATTTCAAATTTTGTTGATGTTAGCCAACTGTTAATGGCATCGGCAGCATACTTCCCTATATACATGAATTATGTATATGCAAACGATTGGGTCTGTGTGCTACCTCCTATGGAATTATGTGAGGCGTAAGTAAATGGAGTTTAACGCTTGATTTTGTCCAGAGTTTAGTCTTACCTGCTCTCGAGCCTGTTGATCCTATCCGCTCCGATACTCCCACTCCTGTTTCGGGGGTTCTTTCAACGACTATTGTTCCCTCCCCCCTTTGCTAAATCCTCCCGCACAAAGGACATTCAAGTAGGGCCGGAAATTTAATATGAACTCCTGCAGTTTTTTTTTTTGCTTGTCTGTTATTGAAATATGAGATTTTTGAGCTCTTGATCGGTGCTCCCATTGTTTGTCTACCTGTCTACCTGTTTAAGCAAAGAATTTTTTGGGAGGATTTTTAAATTTGATCAAGATGCTCCATGTACTTGTTGAAACTCTATATTCCCGATTTAAACTCGAACCATTTTCCAGCGAATATAATACGAATTTCCCGTAGGACGGGAAGGTGTCAAGGTTTTGAATTAAAATAAACATTGCACTTGTCCCGGCCTATGGGCGGTCTGTAACAAACAACGTTAAAATCTCTTTTTTTAGTCTTAAAATTTGGATTATTTTTATTCCACAACTAACAAGTTTTATTTCTCTTCCAGATCTCATTTATAAACACCTTTTATTGTCGGCTCTATCATTGGTAGGTACATTTAATAATGAATCTTGATAAAATGAATCTCGAACAAAGAGCAAATATTAAGTTCTGTGTCAAACTTGGTAAAACCTTTTCTGAAACTTGGCAAATGTTGAGACAAGCTTATGGTGACAGTTGCACATCCCGTAGTAATGTCCACCAGTGGTATAAACGATTTCAAGAAGGACGAGAAGACCTCCGTAATGACGCCAAATCGGGCCGTCCAAAATCAGTGATAACCGAAAGTAACATTGAAAAAGTGCGCGAATTTATCAAAAACGAGCCAAATTCTTCTTTGCGGCAAATGGAAATAAAATTAGGCATTCCCAAAGATTCCATTCATCGAATTTTAACTGAAAAATTAAGTATGCGGAAGGTTAATTCACAGTATGTGTTTAAAAAAAAACGGGCCAATCGAAAAAATGTATAATGGGTATGTCGCCATTTTTATTTAAAATTAAATAGCTATTACAAGATAAATAGATTGGTTAAATGTAAATAGAGATATAAATTGATAGAAATTGGTTTTTTGAATAATTTATTGTGACCCAAACCACAAGAAGTATAGCATTTCGCGCGCTAATTTCCGTTTTGAAAATGTCTGCCGGTAAATGGAGCTGCCACTTTTGCAGAGTTTGGGTAGGGCTGCCACCTAGTCGGAAGCCGTTAGCGATGTGCCTTGTGATTTGTATGTGTACTCTGAAAAATCTGTGATAAAAGGTGGTTTAAAACGCAACGGAAATAAAAAACTGGGCACAAAGAGCGCTTCAAGTATAAATAAAAACTTGATTTTTAAAAATTCACCCTGGGAGATGAAATTTAGGGAACCTTCGCTCTCACGACGCTCAGACGCTCACATCTCTACTACATGGGAAAGAGAGAGAGGGTGGGAATGCTGAGAGAGTCGGCTGGTTTCTTTACCGCTTTGCCTCGCACCCACGTTCGTAATTCTTAAAATATAAAAATAAAATATAAATTTTTTCATTTTAAAAAATATTCTCGCTGCGACTAGTTGTGCTCTGTGCGGCCGGAGTGGAGAGTGGAGAGAATCGGACAGAGGCTTTATTTTTTGTTTGCTACCCGCCGTTGTGTTGCGCAGGCAATCTTAATTAATTTATTTACGTCTATATTGATTTTTAAAGTAACAACTAGCTAGCTAGCAGCCAGCAGCAACCAGCGGGAGCCAAGAGCGCGCGCTTAATAGATATAAAAATACATATTTTTCGAGGTGAGTAAATCTATAAAAATAAATTAAGAAAATTATAATTAAAGCATGTGCCAAAAATAATATGCCGTTAGAAGATTTAGTTTTCTGTTATATTATGTTACTTTTTCTTATCCGCCCGCCATCATAAATAACTAGTTTTTGTTGCCGACGCTCCTGTTCAATTGTTTATTTTAAGTTTATAAACGGATTTAATTTATCTGTTCGCTTCCGAACTGGCGGGCTGTGCTAAAAATTAATATCTCCAGGGTCGAACGTTTCTGTACTTTTTTTTTTTATGTTTTATATAGCTTGGTACATTAATTTAATGTCTCCAGCGTCGAACGTTTCTGTACTTTTTTTTATGTTTTATGTTGCTTGATATAAGAGAGAAGACGCAGATAGGACACGCACACCTACGCAGGCGTGTATAGATGTAGTCGTGTTGCACATTAGGGATGGCCGTGAATATCGATGAATCGATAACATTAAGTAAACATTTGCGGATATTGGTACAAGGACTTTGTTATTTCAGGCAAAGTAATTTTTGTGGTTCAAGGATTAACGTATACAATTCTAAAGAAGATTAAACAGGTGTCAAAAGTCAGGATATTTGAATAAATCTTACTTTAAATATTTAATTCGAAAAAGTATGGTTTTGAAAACGGTTAGCCAGACTAATTTTTTGTTTTTTTGTTGCAATTGTTTTTTCTTTTGTACACACTCTTTTTACCGATATTATCGTATGAGGCATGTTTTTAAATTTTAAAACTTAATGAACAAACAATCCTGATCTACTTCAGTTTAATAAATCAAAATAATTTATTAAAGTTGAAAAAAAATCTAAAAATAAAATTTTGTTTTCAAAAACAACAAACAGATTTAAAAGGATTCACGAGGTAAAATGGAGCATCTATCGCACCTATACCCCCCGCAGTTGCCGAAAGTGCGTGGCCGACCACGGGCCACCTACGCCCAGACTGGGGAATTCGATTTGGGCCTGATCAGAGAATACCGATCCCGCCCAGTGCTCTACGATCGCTCCAACAAGCGTTTTAAAGACAAACTGTATGTGGCCCAACAGTGGGAACAAATGTCCCACAAGCTAGGCTACGACGGTGAGATTGTTGAATTTTAGAGTTATAGAATTTGGAGACCTAATGTTTATTTTCACATTAGCAACCAGTTTAAGGGACCGCATGATCACATTAAGGAATCGCTACAACATTGAGAAGCGACGCGTTGAGAACGGACTCCCCAGCCAAGGGTCTCAGTGGCCGCTGTTTGAGAGCCTTCAGTTTCTTGGAGACCACATACGCCCTCGGCGCAGCTTTAAGAACATGTCCCGAAATGATGATGACGACGAACACTATGGCATGGATGACCAGAGCGATAGCAACGGTCAAAATATGAGTGTTAAGGATGAAATGGAGGATGAAAGCGAGATTTTCGATTGCGAACAAACACTTCCCGTTACCACAGTATTGGGGTGAGTCCTGGCTCGAGTCGGCCGTCAATCCCAGCTAATGTCTGGCTTTATCTTCTTATAGTATTCCCCCGACTTCTGACGATGCAAACAAGAGCCAGCGGCAGAGCAACGGCAGCGACATGGCCAATGGCAAGGGCTACAATCACTTTGCAGAGAGTTACCAAAATCGTCATCAGCCGGAATATATCATCAGTAGTCCCATAGTTCCGAAGAGCATTAACAAGCGTTCAGCGGCGCTCGACGAGCCAGCTATCAAGCGCAGAGCTGTGCAAAATGTTGGAATGCCTTCCTTCTATAACACACCCGCTCTCCCACCTTTACCAGCGTCTTACGCAAAGTTCCACGGCTTTGGCGAATTCATGGTCCACTCCCTGTGCGATATGCCCATGACCACAGCTCTGCGTTTGGTTCAGAAATTCACCCGCGAGCTCGTCCAAACTTCCCTCAAACATGACGACAGTGGGAGCTCCACGAAGGCTGACCAGGCCGATGCCACCGACCCGGTCGATCCCGAAAACAGCAGCGAGTCTCAGGGGGAGGATTTCGAGTAGAGATTAAGTTGCAATTTTAAAATACGGGTAGGGATATTGAAACGCAAGTCCACAATTATAAATATAGCCGCACTATGACAGATACGATATTGATTACACAATAAGTTAATACTCTTCTTTTAAGTCGTCTGACCTCGAAAAACTGGAGGCAAAGATAATCGCATTTCATTTAATAACATAATGGAAAAATATACTCATAATTTGCTTTGTTTTAAAGGCATGGGGTGGTTTGATAGTTTAAAAGTTTTTAGGCCCTGCAATGTCTTCGATTTTATAATTCTGTAATGGTATTGAATCCTATAAAAGTATTATATAGAACCATATAGATTTTTAACAATAATATAAATTATAATTTTAACAATTCGTCGCAAGGCGTAATGCGTGTTTGTCTAAATGGAAAATGAATGCCACAAATAAATATGTAAATCGCAGCAACCCAGATACCTTGCAAATCCCATATATAGATTTCCTGTATCTTGAAGATGCACTTTATCTGAAAAGCTGATTCTTGCAACATGTCTTAATACCGAAGAAAAAGCTTAAAAAGCTCACGACTTGGTTTCGCCCTTTAATTTCAGCCGCCGCTATTCTGGAGCTTTACACCGGCATCCTTGCGATACAAGCACCTGAGTAAGCTGCCGAATCTTCAAACCAGTTGTCCTCGAGGCTGCGAAGAATGCGACAAAATGGGCGGCAACAAAACTAAAGTGCTGATATTATGACAACAAATTCTCTCCAATGTAGATCCATTTTTTATTACCAACCTAATGCCACCAAAGTACACTTCGAGTAGGATGTTGATCGATGTTGTGGGAAGTCCAGCGCATAATCGCACCAGTGATAACCCGAGAAATGTGTGCCGGGAAAACTGGAAACCGGCTGTGGAATGGCAAACGAAGTCTGGGTAGGCACATCTCCATTTGACCAAACTGGGTGGGGCCTTCGGGCTATCTCTAGGTGCGTTACCTCTTCTTATTTTCCCCTCTTGTTTTATTAATGCATCTATATTTCTTAATTAAATTACAGTCTCTCTCGCATGGTCGTGTGTGCGTATGTAATTACAGTGTTTATGTGGCACTTGGACATTCCTGGCTTTTTTTCCCAGCTGGTTGGCTTATTGATACTGCCATGGCCCAAGGAGGGAATAAAGAGGTGAGTATAGTGGCTCCAAGATGAGTGCAGTGAAGCATTAAAACGTCACCTGATGTAGGCCGTGCCCGGTGCTTATTTGTTACTTTTGGAAATACAAATTGCACTAGTCCCGGCCTGCAGTGAGTGTCAAAGGCAGCGATTCTCACTGAAAAAATAATTACCAAAAAATATAGTGATATTAAACAATTATTATTTGAAATAACATTTAGACTATTTTCAACTATTTATAAACTTTATACGTAGGTAAATTAATTAAATAAATTTTGACTTTTAAAACAAATATTTAAAATATCTAAAAATATTACTACTTCCATTTATAAAGCTTGATGAAAGCACACGGAGTAAATTCTGTAATAGTATAAAATATTTTTGTATATATATATAGAAAAACTAAATTTGTATCTAACTATTTGTGCTAAGTATCTTTACCTTCTAAACACTGCTTTATATTATGATAGAAAAAAATATATAACCAGTTTCAAAAAAAGAGAATCTAAAGTTCGTATTTTTATTTATTTATTCACTTCTGAGTGTTTCGGCGGAGCATCTTAATGATAATTTTAATGCTAACCTCGCCACAAAACCGTAGGCTTAATGTGGTGCGGCATTTTGCGTGCTGCTGTTCGTCAAAGTCAGTACCGTCTTCTCATCTTCTCATTTCGCCTGCCTGTCTGACTGGCCTGTAATTATATAATTTAATCAAATTACTTGCATATGTTGCCAAAAAAAAAAGGAAAAAGCCAAAACACTAAAACCCAAAAAGGAAAAAAACCGCCAAAAGAAGCACTTAAGAAGAAGCAAAGAAAAACTTGAGAAATTACCAAATGCGGGCTAACATAAGTGGTAACAAAAATAAAAATAAATGCCAACGACAGCCGCTCCTGGCGGCTCCAAAATGGTTTATAGCCTCATTTTGACAGTGAAAAGTGTCTGCGTGAGTATCTGCATCCGAGTGTGCGTGGCCCCAAAGATACGTATTTGCGTATTTTAGGATTCATCATCATTACTCTTTCCCGGCCGTTGCAGTGGCACTTTGGCTTTCTTCATTTGGACAGGTAAAAACGCCTTGATTTGTAATTTTTAATATCTATTACCTGTCAGTGCGTACTAAATATATTCTAGTCTTATTAATACTAATACTAGAGGGTTGAATTGAATATTCAAATATATATTTAAATAATAAATATGTAATATTATGGGAAAACCTGCTCTATTTCCACAGACCCCCAATATAAGCTAAGGTACCACAACAACAATGTGGCGGCTCATGGGGATGAAGCCGAGTGATTTTATAATATCCCTCTTCGGCACCAATATCCCTGCAATGGTTTCAAGGATCTGAATTGGTCCGTGTTTACCGAGTACAAAGAAAATATACTCTAAGGAGATTTAATCTCCTCAAAATAGTAAGCATTTTCGAGCAAAATTGAATACTAGTTGAGTTAATAACTTATGTGTGGTGTGGAAAAGTAAGTTTCATTATTTTAATTCTTAATTATGATTTTTTAATTCATTATTTTTCTGGTATTTTCGACTGGTATTTTTTGGTCACAATTCAAATTTGCCCGCTCAAGTTCTGTTAATTTTTAACAGAAATTTCCTCTGTTAAATTTTAAAAATTACCAGACCTTGAGCGGTCAAATTTGAATTGTGACTTAATAACTCAAATTTTACGAAATACGATAAGAAAAAAAACAACTATTTGCAAATTGACATTAAAATTGAGGTCCTAGAACTTTTCAAAGATAAAATAGAAATACCAACAGGACTGGAAATTTGTTTAAATCGAAATATTTCGAAAACGGTTCTGGAATATTTTCTAATGGGTGGAAACAATATAAAAACTATAAAATATCGATTCTATTCATTATACTTAAAAATAGGAGCCATTAGTTTCTTTTAACGCGAAATGGTTAATAAATCATTGACGGTTAGCTTTTACGGGTACTTGATTCAATTGCGTCATTCTCCTGCCATGCTCCACTACGGTCTTAGCCAGCTCCATTCATAAAAGCCATGTGGTGTAAGCTTTTAGCCATTTAAAAGGTTTGTGTCAAAACCACGCGTAAAAGTAGAGTGTTGGAAAACGACGAGCTGGTTGTTTTGGCCATGCCGGCAAACACGGCGTATGAAAATTGTTTGCTAGAAAACCGCGCTGTTAGTCTTTTGGAAAACCTGCCGGCGAGCGGTTGGGTGGATCAGTTGTCGTTAAGCGTCAACGAAGGAAACTTATAACGGTTTCTTCCAAATAAAATTCGCAACTTTTCCGGTATATGCCACAGTTACTCGATTTTCCATTTATATTTTCATTGTCTGAATGGCTGATTTCTGGCTGAATGCACTTTGTGGCCGCCATTAATGTCAACACGGCTGTCAGTTGATGTCGTGGTCCTCGGTGTCGGTGTTAATGCTTTTAATTACACGCAAAACATAAAAAAGTATTTCGTTAAGTGTTGCCGTGAAGTTTGACATCAGAAATAAATGCACTCGCCACCGCAACAATTGCGGGGGCCGACTCTGTAGTTCTGGCATCCCCACAGTGATCTGTCATTCTTGCCGATCTTGAGACTTCCGCCGGCTAGTCCCGGGTAAGTTACACCATCGAGAGTGTTTCTTGTGATTGATTGAGTCTCTAAAAAAGAGAATTTGGAGGGTAAATTGGGCTGATTATGGTGCAGTGTTTATAAGTGTTTTAAGGCCAAAAGTGTTACTTTTATAGCCCACCTCTGCTATACGATTCTGGGGAGACACGCAAACCAACGACTTGCCGGCATTTGCATACGCGTCCCAGTCCCAGTGGTTATGTTTATATCTCTCACCTTCAGTGAACTGTGCTCGAGCATCATTATAAGTAATGTTTATTTTGCTGATAATATTGATTTCAAAATATAAACATTGACAAATTAATGCCACTACTAAGCACACGCATGTGCCCCGTCATCGTCATTCAATCGAGTCGAGTTGCTCCACTTGAAAAGTATATCGGGGGATTCTTAAATCCTCTCTTCTGTTTATGGAGAAGACCCTGTAACGCACTCGAAATTGTCAGGCAATGTCGCAGAATTTTCAAACTCACGCATCACGTTTTCGCATCAGGCCCACTCCAGACCGGCCCGAGCAAAAAAGCGAATAAGTTGTATAAATATGGCTATTTATTTGCTTAAGAACACATACCACCCACCCATTGACGGCTCATTAAATAAATGCAACATCTGTTGGCGCTCTTCGTGGGCCTTTTGTTTACACTTTGGATTGCCGCGCAAATTTTATACCAAACATATTTAATACGCACCTTAGCCCGGCTCACTTCTGTTTTGTTTATAAATTTTGGCAACGTCGAATCAACGTCATACGTTGTCCGCTCCCAAAAATAACATCATAAAAAATCCCTCAATAAGCCCTCCCCCGCCTTATCTACCATTGTTAACCAGACCAGCGAACTGTGGGAAAATCGGATAAGAAAGCGCGAGCGGCATAAGAAATATGAAAATTTATTGCGCATACGCCACCGAGGCTGGCATATCATTTTAAGAATTTTCTGCCTGCATCTCAAGTCGTGATGGGGCTTTGCTATTTTGGTCAGCCATTGGACAGAGGCCCAGTTCCAAATCAAATCAAATGTCTTATTTATATGAATGGTGATTTATGCGCTCGTCTTTCATGTGGCGATTTTCTTTTGGCTTTTTTTTTTTGCTCTTCTGATGGAGCAGTCTCATTTTTTATGCCTTGCGCTGGCTGCTAATTACGATTGGCTGGAAAAAGCAAGCGAAACGGAGAAAAGCGGCCGAAAAGGAAAAGTATGCGGTCAAACACGTCGAGGCTGTCCATCGAAGAGATGCCGTTTACATTAACTTGGCCTAGTCGCTGGCCTGTCCGTTTGATTTGCCAGACGCGTGTGGTGGCGCCTTTCGATTTTTGGTTTCATTTAATTTATTTTTGTTGTTTTGGTTTTGTTTTTTGGGGCACTGACAATCGCGATCGCGTTTTTGCAATCGCCGGAACGCCGCCGGAATAAGAAATGTCCCCCCAACTGAGTCACTACGACATAATAAACAGCAGCAACACCATTCTCAGCGTGAATTTCTTTTCAAAATTTAACTCAACTGTCACCCACAATGCAAATAAAAGGCGGGTCATCAGAAGGGGTTGGGCTGTCTTTTTTATTATTGTTTTTTTAGAATGCATCGTATTTGTTTAACCCAAAAAAACTATCGATGATTGTCGGATATATGGCTCTAATGTGGCTCATATTTATTTTGCAGAAATTTGTTACTTTTACTTTTTAGTGTGAGCTAATTCT